TTAATTTCCCTATAAGGATTGCAGATTGGTCAGTTTTAGATTTTCTCCCATCTTCCTGTTTGCCACAATATAAAGCTTGTTTGATCCAATCTGAGATTTTTTTTAAAGGATGTTTGCTTTGCCTTTTCTGTGTTTTTTAATGTATTTTTAAAATATATATTTTGGAGGGTATATTTTTCTTACTGACATCTTCTGCAAGATGTCAGTAATACAATGAATATACAATATTTGTTTCTCATAAACAGATATGACTTTGTTCATGTCTTTCACTCCTAATAATTTATCAGGAGTAATAAATACTTTAAAAGAGGGAGAGCTTTGCTTTTCCAATTTTTGTCATATTTATTAGTATTCTTCCCCAATTTTTTTTTAACAGTTCACTGGAACTTTCCTTCTCTCTAATCTTCGCTAACAGCATCATGCTTCCCAAAGCTATTCTGTAGACGATGTATCTGAACCATTGCTCATTGGACTTTTCTGTCTAAGGAAGGCTGATTCAATGAATTTTTCAAAAAATTCTGTTCTGCTATAATCTTCTCCAAAACACACCACTGATTGTGTGAAGGACAGGTCACTTCCTCAAATTCTAAACCTTTTAGAATTACCTAGTAATCCTTTAGTATGGAATGTTCTCTGAGCTTGGTTATTTGCTTGAAGCTAGTTAGGTTACATCATCAGTACTAGTGAGTGTGGGGTTTATTCTTATTTAAATACAGTAGCTGGCCTGCCAGTTTGTTGGGGATGATGAGTTAATAAGGCTATGGTTTTCTCCATAGTAGTTCCTTGATTGGGCCATTATTTTCTTCTTTATTGTTTGTCTGGGTGTTGGTTGCTGAAGAAGATGTGTTCTGGTCTATTTGTTTCCTTCTTAGCTTTTGTATGTTCTCTTTTGAATACAGCATACATGTGACTTATCTCTCTGTGTCAATTGATGGTTGATTTGTCTGAATGCCAGGCTTCTGGTGCTGCCTAGCATTTTGGACTTAATCTGCTTTAGGATAAAATCTGAAATTAGGCTGATAAATTATTAGGAGTGAAAGACTCAACTCGGTCTTTCCATATGTTATGAGATTTTCACTGTGTCTTCTGATGACTTGTTGGTGTTCATGGATGAGCTTTGTTAGTCTTCTGCCTGCCTGTCCTGTCCTACATAGAGGCTGTTGTGATCCTTACATTATATACATTGTATTGTTTATATCACAAGCTACTATATATAAATAGGCAGCAGTTCTAACACCTGATGATGTTACCCAGTCAGGTAATGAAACATCTGCAAGCAAATAACCAATTTAGGGAGCACCCAGGACTCCACAATTTAACAATGAACTACATACATTCTCTTCTATTGGAATCTTTTACTACCAGTTTATTTTCTTTTGCCAGCAAGAGATGACAGAAACAAATGTTTCAACCACAGCATCTTCAGGGCCACACATGGTTTCCCATCAGCTTCATAAAAATAAATCTCTCATGACTGAACAAAGAAACATTTTGGTGCCAAACAGTGGTGGTTGTTTTTGCCTTTAATAATATATATTTCTGTTCCATTCCCAAAAGAGTGGTCACTCACTTTGATTAATTCAGAAGCTGTAATCTCACTGTATCTTTTTCACAACATGGTTCCCAGAGGAAAGATATACAAGGCAGTCACCTGAAAGGAGTGGAGATAAGTTTAGTGTTCAGGAATAAATATCTAGCAGTCAGCAGAAAGCCTAGGAAATTGTTGGTGTAATGGTGGCAAAATCTTCTTTCTCTGTAAATTCCTTCGAATAGGTACCACATTCCAAATCAGTTAAAGGCTGAATTTGAACCATCCCCTCTCCTCAGCCCAACCTACATCACTGGTTTGTTGTAAGTAAATACAAAAGGAGAAATAATTCTATATGCCACCATGAAGTCTGAAATAAAATGTGTAACATATCGTATTTACCGGACTATAAGCTGCTACTTTTTTCTCACGCTTTGAACCCTGCGGCTTGTACAACAATGCAGCTTATCTATAGATTTTTCTTCGCTAACTACCATCAGGGGGCGCAAAAACATGACAGACACAAGAGGTCAATGCAAAGAAGAAGATGCTACCGGTAGTTTGTGTCGGCACTCGACGCAAGCAGCACAACACGCACGAATGCAAAATATTTTTCACACCCTCATCATGGAAAGTACATGAAGAAAAGCATATGATGCAGCTTTTAAGTTGAAAGCAATCGATATGACTATCCAGGAAGGAAATAGAGCTGCTGCACGTAAGCTTGGCATTAATGAATCAATGGTGAGATGTTGGAGACGGCAGCATGAAGAACTGATTCAATGCCAAAGGACAACAAAGGCTTTCAGAGGTCATAAAAGCAGATGGCCTAAACTTGAAAATGTTCTTGAGGACTGGGTGAACACACAGAAAGCAGACGGCCGAGGTATATCCACCGTGTAGATCCGACTGAAAGCTAAAACAATTGCTAGCAAAATGGGTATTGAAGATTTTAAAGGTGGACCATCATGGTGTTTTAGATTTATGAGATGAAAAGATCTGTCCATCAGGGCACAGATGACTGTCTGTCAGAAACTCTCGACTACGAGGAAGAAGTTGCAACTTCCACAAATTTATTGAAACAAAACTAGCTGAGAATTCCATCAGACCAGATGACATCATAAATATGGATGAAGTACCTTTAACGTTTGACCTGCCTCTAACTAGAACTGTTAACAAGACAGGAGCGTCATCCATTATGGTGAAAACAACTGGCCACGAGAGAATGCATTTCACGTGTGTTTTGAGCTGCACCGCATCTGGACAGAAGCTTCCACTGATGGTGATTTTTAAGCAGATGACTATGCCAAAAGAAAAACTCCTGAAAGGCATAGTCGTTAAAGTTAACAAAAAAAGGATGGATGATAGAAAGCCTAATGACTGAATGGCTGACGGAGTGCTACAGTAAGCACCTGGGAGGATTTTTTCACCGGAAAAAATCATTGCTTGTTTTGGACAGTATGAGGGCCCATATAACAGATTCTGTGAAAGCAGCCATCAAGAGAACAAATTCAATTCCAGCTGTGATTCCTGGAGGTACAACTAAGTTTTTGCAGCCACTCGACATCAGTGTGAATTGTGCATTTAAAGCGGCCCTCCGAGGTGAGTGGGAGGCTTGGATGACCGGCGGCGAGAAATCATTCACAAAAATTGGCCGCATGCGAAGAGCATTCTCCTCTTTCTGTGTAAATATCTCATTTCACAATGTATATATCTGCGGCTTATAGTCTGGTGCAGCTAATATATGTAAAAATATTTTTTTCTTTGAAAATTTTGTGGGTGCGGCATATATTCCGATGCACTCTATAGTCTGGTAAATATGGTACACATTATATAACAATTTAAATAGAATGGAATGGAATGGAATGGAATGGAATAGAATAGAATAGAATAGAATAGAATAGAATAGAATAGAATAGAATAGAATAGAATAGAATAGAATA